CTACTCCCACTCCTACTCCTACTGCTACTGCTACTGCCACGGCACGGCACTGTACAGCACTGCACTGCTGCTGCCACCTCAAGAGATCCTCAGCATAGGTCATATTATGACATCTGTAAAACCTTCTCAGGGGCCCGACGCTGCTTCGCGGTGGATGCTGCCAGGAAGGCTGTTGAGGCTCTGGTACCACAGCTGGGCTCTGATTGAACTTTTGAGGTTGGCTTTGGAGTTGTGTTTTAAGCTTCTGAGACTGTTGGGCTTGAGCTTGGTGTGTGTGTGTGTGTAATCACATATGTGTTGGGTGTGTGTGTGTGTGTGCGCGTGTGCGGGCGGGGGGCCTATGGCTGCGATGTTTGTCGCGACTTCGGAGAGGTTAATGCCGATACCCAATGATATCCGGTGCCCACTGAACACTGCCAAGGGGCGCGCATCATGCAAAGCGCCTGAACAGTCCACCCTTGCGCATGACACTGATACTGGGGATTGATGGCAGGTGTTGCATTTGCATGTCATGTGAAGTTTCATTGTGTCGCTGACTGCATGAGCCGGGGATGAAGTTGGTGACGCGCATGACGCTGCAGCTGCCGAAGGCTTGCGAGCGCAACTTCCGTCTGAACGGGCTTCATGCACAGGCTCTCCGGTATGGATGGAAATCGGGACGAGTCGAGACTGTATAGGTCGTTTTTTTAGGGTGCACGCTGGGGTGAGACGGCGTCATGTCGTTTTTGACTGCCACCGATTGTTTGCCTTGTGTGCTTTTGCTGTGGCAGCGATAAGCAGCTGTGGGAGGTCTCTTCCGGCACTGAGCAGTTCCAGACCACGCAGAATATGCCAGATGCTTACCAACGACTGGCTGAGAACTTTGATGCTGATGTTGCAGTTGCCACTGAGCTTGGGTTCACCACCGTGGCAGATGTTGTGTGAGCTGAGTCCCATCTACTCTCCCAAATGAGGATCCACCTGGCGGATTGCTGGGAATTTCTCCGAAATGCCGCGGAAGCCAAAGATGCTTTCGACATCGCCTGGATGCTCAGTAGTGGCGGTTTGGGGTTAAGGGTTTAGGGCTGAAGACGTGGTGGGCACGAACTGTCAAGAGGTGAACTCAGCTACCTGTAATCTTCTGGCATCTCCATGGCAGATAGCGGCATGAACTGATGGAGTATTGGGGCGAATGTCCCGGCCAGCTTGAAATGGCGACTTGTGTATTCAAAGGTATCTCTCGAATCTGCTGAGGCTTGCCTGCCAGAAGATCTGCAGCGATGCAACAGACTCTGACCTAATTACTACATCTGGTATAGAGAGAACCACAGGTAAGAGAAAGAGAACCGACACTAAATTGTAAAGATGCTGCATCAGTGTATCTTTCAAAGGTTGTGTGCGATCCTCCGTCCATGGCCCCGCGAGTCAGTGCGAGGCCTCAGGCTCGGATACTGGCCACAGAAGCAGTGACTGATAAGACCACACCGAGAAAATAGCTGCTATAACTATAGTTGTATAGTTACTTCTACAGAATTACGGTTCACTGCATATAGCAAGGATCATAGCCACCATGCTCATGGGCACCATGATCTACATAGTTTTGTATCCACCATAACAGAATGGAAGTGTGTCTTGTAGCGCTGTGGCAACCTTCATTGTCGGGTGGGCATCTTGTTTACTATAGGGTGTAGGGTTTAGCGTTTAGAGTTTAGGGTTTAGGGATTAAGATTTACCGTACTGGCCTATACTAGCCTGTACTCGACTATACTACACTACGCTAGACTGACTAGGCCATACGATGCAGTACTAGGTCGTGATCTGTCGCTGGAGCATACCTTGCTAGTTTTCAGCCCATTTCAGCACGTAAGCTTGCCTCACGCCGGGGCAATTTCATTGGTGTGCATCGGCTAAAGCGCATCTTTGGAATTACCTATAGTCTCCATTGTAGTTCCTTTTTGGGGATGCCTTATTCAATGCTTAATATATTATTGGTTAAACCAAAAAACGGAACTACAATGGAGGCTACAGGTATGTCCCATCCCCACCGACTCGATCCGGATAGAACCCGGGCAAACCCACTGCGAGCAGTTTCTGGGAACCCGCTCCGGCTCCTTCGCCAGTCCTCTGGGCTCTGATTGAGGGGTTTAGTTCAAGTTACCATAATAAGGAAACCGAAACCTATGTGCTATAGACCCCATTATGGTAACTTGAAGTAAACTTCTGAACAAGAACCCAATCCTGGAGCCAGGCGCTGAAGGCCTACAACTCCCTGAATCAGGGCGCTTTGAAAGTGTTGCGGCCGGGCCAGGGCCTCGGAAGATCGGTGACGGCCCCGTTTGCTTCTGCACTTCAGCCGTGCGGAAGATGGGGGAAGTGACATGAATGCAAGGACTTGGGGAGTCTATAGTGCGGGCTCGCATCTGTCTCCCTTGTTTTCTGCGTGGCATCTTGTTGTTTGTGTGGTTTTGTGTCTGTAGTGACAGCCTGAGGGCTCTATCACTCCATGGGATTATCCCTCGGGCTGCCTGGTACCTCATACTGCATAATATTAGAATAGGGTTTTGGGGCCCATTATACCAGAATTAGAATGAGGAGCCCCCAAAACAGTGTAGGTAAATATTATTGGTTATACCATAACTAGACAAAGGAACCCCCAAAACAGTATAGGTAATTATTAGTGGGGGTGGCCCCTGTGGACAGGACCTCCTGCCCTCAGTCCCAGCCCCAGGCGGCCGGCTGATCAGCTGCTCTTGCAGCTGGGGGCCGAGAGACGGCTTTTCAGGGTTTAGGGTGTTCAGGGTTTTAGGGTTAAGGGTTTAGGGTTCAGGGTTTAGGGTTTAGGGTTCAGGGTTTAGGGTTTAGGGTTTAGGGTTGAGGGTTTTAGGGTTTAGGGTTCATGGTTCAGGGTTATAGGGTTTAGGGGAAAGGGTTCAAGGTTTTAGGGTTTAGGGTTTAGGGATTTCATGTCGTCGGAGGGCTGATAAGATCGCTGTTCCGCGAAGGCAGCTGAAGTCAGACAAAGCATGGCATGCTCAGTGAGAAATCTGGACAGATCCTGCAGTTCTGGGCTATGACAGGCTATAGAAGCTTCGGCCCGAACATGTTGGACAATCATCTCATACATGTATATATGTATTACATAATATGTATAATGTATACATATATATATATATATACATATATATTAATATGTTTATTTATTTATTTATCCAGTCCCCATTCGTTCTGATCTTGAGCGGTGATGTATCGAGGTTCGCACATCACGCGGAAGGATTTGCTGAACACCGTCCAGGCCGGTTGGGCGAGCCCTTGGCATCGCGTAGCGAGCATTCGCTTCACAGCACACCTAAGACACCAGAAGCTTCTTCTCCGTTCCAGGGAAGTGACTCAGCCGCTGCCATTCATTATCTGACCTGGCATAGCTGAGAGACTTCACGAAGCATAATGGAGTTGGCCTGCTCTTGCAAGCCTTTGCCAGGAGGCCGCACAGCTCTTGGGTCGTAGTGTGGTCCTGGAGGCGCATGCCGTGAAACACCTGCCGAACCTTCAGGGCCAGTGCACGTCGGCGAGTCGTAGGTCCAAGTTCCGCCCGAAAACCCCCACCTCTGAAGGCCTACCGCCTTGCTCACATGAAGTCCCACTCAACGTCTGAAGTTAAATAAGTCTTCGCATCTAATTAGGGCTTTGGGTACAGGTCGTCTCAGCTTTATTTATTGTTGACCCGACTCAGGAGGAGGGCTCGGCCGGGGCAGACCATCCGACTCGGCGTGGCTTCCCCGAGGGCGAGTATTTGCAGGAGCGGCTTTAACTTTCAGGTTTGGAAGTGGTGGCCAAAGCCACGCTGTTGGTGTGCCCTGACGTCATTGTTTTTAAAGCTTGAAGGTGACGCATGTAGTCGGTGGCATTTGGAAGTCCAGCCCTGTAATTGCGCTCATGTGTGCATGGAAGGTCCTCCACTTCATCGTTCAGTGACGACGACAGTGATGGCGTGGGTTGACATCCGAGAGCGACAAAAAAACAGCGTTTGCATCGCTCCTCCCTGGTCAGCAGCAAGATTTGTCATCATGACTTTATCTCTGTTCTTTCTGGCTAAGCCAGCTTCGGAACATCACTAGCCGTCACCAGCACCTCAGCCCCTCATTGCTCACTGCAAGTAGGAAGGAAGGATGGCATGTAGCGCGTGACAGGCCTATCTGCCTCCTCGCACACGCCTCTGTCGGAGCCTCATCCTGCAACGGTGACGAGACGACACGTCCGCTGTCGAAGCAAGACCTCCAATCCCATGGACTGGACCCGAAGACACGGAGCATGTTGACGCACGGCTCCAAGGCTACCACTTCATCCGCGGATGCTGCAGATGGGAGCACAACTGTAGGAGGCATGCAGGAGTGGACAGATCAGATAGCAATCTGGTGGCTTCACGGTCTTGTCAGGTGGTGGTCGTCTGTAGCAGTTGGCTCAGTCAGTGTGGAGACCGTGTGTCTCAAATTCGACAGGCATCATCCGCACGAGAGGCTGGGTTTGTTGCATGCTGGTGCCACGAACCTAGAGACTTTTTCAGAGCTAAGAGAGCCTGAGTTCGTCTACGGTTTCGACATTGGCACTGCCCAAGACATTACACAGCTTGAAGCCTAGATTGCGGATGTCGCGTGTTCCCGTGGCCCTGTCCCTGTCTTCATGTTTCTGCAGGTGCAAAACTGGAATTCGGGGGTTCTCATCACATCTTATAGGATCGTCCGTGCAGCATGCCGTGCTTCCGCGGGAGGCAGCTGGCAGAGATTTCTCAACTCTTGAGGCCGAATTGTGCCGGTTGCTAGCCGAGGGTAGCTGTGCGAGTTTCATCGCCCTGCTACACTTTCCTGCGAACAGGGACTTGAATGGATTTGTGATGGCAGAATGAAACACATTGCTCTTCTGTGCGCACAGATAGACAAATGTGGCAGATGTTGTTCATCGCGTTGCTTAGAGGATGGTCCCATGCCGCTGGGGCTCGCAGTGCAGGATGAAGAACTGCGTGTGAACCCCAGCTGAATCCAGTCCGGGCTGGCGTGTGATTCCAACTGTAAACAACGATGTGGCAAGCTTAGCCGGTTGCTGCCTCCCAGCGTTTGAATGTGAGAATGTCGGTGGCAACAATCCTTCGGGAGATCCGTGCGCAGAGGGCTATGTTGGCTTGAGTCGTAGTCTCAATGCATCTGCCTCGAGAGAAGTTTGGGCACTGTTTGAACTACCTTGCTGGCCGAGTCGGCTGCATGCCTGGATTCGATCACTGCAATCCAAAGGTCTTCAAGCACGAGGATCCCGAATGGCAACGTGCGGAGGCGGGGCTAGAATGTTGGGCTGCACACAGCCAGAAAACCCTCAAGTTCCCAGGTCCTAAGATTTCATTGCCAACTGCGCCCTGAATCCTGCAGCCTTCACGACTTTTCCTTGGGACGGCCTGCTCGAAAGCTTGTTCAGGGCTTCGGGTCCCAGCTGGAAGGGACAGGTAGACCTTGGAGATCGTGCATGGGGCTGTCGACACGTCGTACTCTGGCTTTATACCGTATACAGCAATTTGCAACTCTGATTCACAACGTAATCCTTAGACTGTCCCAAAAACAGTATGAAGTATTCTAGAAGGCTTAGCGCCGAGAGCCCCAATGACGAGAGGTTGGCCGCTAAGGCTGCTGAACCCGAAATGAAGCCTTACGAGCCCTAAGGCCCCCAAATAGCTTAGCCTGGCGAAGGTCAGACCTTGGGTTGATTGAACTGTGAGCGGGGATGCAAGGCTCCATCCAAAGTACGGAATGCTTCAGTCAACGTGATAGCCTTTTTGTGAGACAGACCGAAACCGTACCAGCAGCTATAGCTGCATGCAACGACAGACAGCTGGATGAGTAGCGTACAAGTCCCAGCCGCTGCGAAAGGCTTCAGGATTGGGCTCTGTCGTGCATTGATGCAGTTGATCGATTCGATCTTCTGGGGTGCCTGACAGGATCCGGAGGTCCAAGAACAGCAACGTCCGACGCTGAGCGAGGAATTCGGTATGACGTATGACCTGCACAGAGAGGGAACCGCGGTGAAACTTCACTCGGGGATGAAGCCTCTTGACTCTTGGCTGCTGCGGATTTAGGTTGGGGTTAAGGAAGTTTAGGGTATCAGATCTAACCCCATTTTCGGGCAGCGACCGAGCCTGAGGAGCCAAGCCTGCTCCGGTGCCTCGGGGTTCTCGGTTCAGAGCTCCGCACTCTTCAGTTCCAGCTTATGCTGGCTTTCGAGTTCTTTGTCGATCATACAACTGTCATAACTATTTCGCAGCACCCCACACCCAGAGACGAAAGGTGCGGAGAGCGACGAAAGCTCGGCAGAGAGCATCGCCTGGGCCAGCAGCCGTGAAGGCACGGCAGAATGGGACTGAAATTGCTTTGAGACGCAAGATGTTGAAGGGCAACCACCATTGTACAAGCGGCGGATGCAGGCCATGTGTTGATTGTGCAAGCGAAGCGCAGCGAGGTCGCCAAGTCCACCATACACTGCAGTCACTACACAGTCGCTACTCTGTCACCACATACTGTAGCCCTTCGACTTGAAAAAGCCGCTGCCCAATTTCATTACCCCTATAAATACCTATGATGCGGTCTGCGTACAACAGGTTCTACAAGCGCCAGCACCACCGAGGACGAGAGCAGTGAAGGGCCTCAGCGGCTGGCAAGATTTATGAAGATAGTGCTGGTATGTCCGTGCCTAGCGCTCCATATCCCCGCTTCTTATCACAACCAGCATTGGTCGCACCCTCGACCTATGCGTGCGAGCCATGAGGTGCTTCTGATGACGAGGAGATGTCGCGGTCAAGGCCATCCTGGGTTTGCTCGTTCCGTTCCGCAGTCGTGCTCAAGGTGGCAAATGTACCCACGAAGGTCGCTTCCGCAAGTGCTCCGCTGGGAAGTGGCAGACGCCTGAACCCCTAAACACCCTAATCCCCAAAACCCCCCCATGCTCAGGCAGCAGTTTTTGCAGAGCAAGGCGAATCCTGTGCCGCACCTGGCCTGTTGTGATTATGGTCCTCAGAGCTGTTGGTGAACGGGGAAATTGGGTCCTGAGCATCAGTCGCCAAAGCACCCGAATTGAAGTTGATCCCATTGAGGTGTTGATCTTCCAGGATGCCGGCATTTGCATAATCAGCAAGCCTGCAGGTGCCTTCCTTAGCCTTAGGCGAAGGACATTATATGGGGTTCATGCGAGTTCTGTATATCTTGCCCGTCGCATGATTTGCTATACATCCACTATTTCATCCTCATTGATGTGAGCCTTGCACAGATACGAAAGCGAACTGAGAGTGCTGCACCCCCCGTTATAAATCCTACTTGCGAAGCAACGCAGGCTGGTCGGCCGACCACTGTCCAGTGTCGCGGGCATCTCGTCCTCACGAGTTGGTGTCAGGATTGTAACTCTGAGTCACTTCGACTCCGCATAACAGCGTTCCATTCTTCGGGTCAGCGCTCCTGGCCGGCATCACCCGACTCGTCGCGGTGATCGAACTCGTTCCATCCTGAAGCCGCAAAGCCTTTGAGCCCAGCGCAAGAGATAGGGGGTTTCTTAGAAATCAGGGAAAGATCCTACTGTACCGCGTCTACCTGAGTCTGAGGGTCCCCCGCTTTATGAAACTCCGAGAAGCAACTCTGGCATCAGGGCCCGGATGGCCGTCCGCTGAGTCTCAAGGCAGGGCGCCAAGCGTTTAGTACCGCCGCAGAAGTGGGGTCTGAAGGGAGCTACACTGGGGAGAATAGGGGACCCTGAACCCTGAGCCTAAACCCAGAAGTGGGGTTTAAAGGGAGCTGCACTGGGGAGAACAGGGGCAACTAGCGTAACTAGAGCGGAGGATATAATCATGCTACGTCGAGATTCTATTCTGGCGCTTGTTCGGGGTCTTGGCAATAATGGCAACAGGATCGCACCGGGCCTGCAAGGGGACAGTTTGGCATGTGGCTCAGATCCACGGCCTTTTCGGGCTATCTTGAGCCAAAGGGCTATGTGTTCACTGCAAGCAGCACACTTCGCTTTGCAACTCTCAATGTAAGGAAGTCCACTCCTTCAGTTCAGGGACCTGAGCCATTTTGCTGCGACATTTGCGTCAACCGTAGGGCCTCAAGGCTCAACGTTTCTTCCGCAGTTCGGCACCGGAGGAGCGACAAAGCAAAACCCTGGCACTTGCCGGCTTTGGGTGTTGCGAGTTGCCATGCCAGGCGCTGCACAGCAGCGGTAGCGGCAGCCTTAGCTGCGTGTGACAGCTGGCCGCTGGCCTGGCAGACAAGTAAGTATCATGTGGGAGTTTCCGAAAATAAGGGGTACCTTATTTTGGGGTCCTTATAATCAGGATCCTACTATTGGGAGTTCTATATTAGGGTCCCCTATTCTCGGAAACCCCCATGTCCATCCTGGGCCGTCAGGCAACATCTCTCGTACAAAAGTCAAAAGGGAGGCCTCCGCCTGAACTGGAAATCTTGAACCCCGAACTGGCCAGGCGAGGTAACGTGAGGAGCCCAAGGGCTTCCCTTTTAAGACCCAGACCCCCAAAAGGATCTGAAAAATTGATCTCCTAATACGGGACCCTAACTACTAAAGGGTACTTCTCTGGTCTGGGGAGTTGAGATCCTGGAGCCCCTGAGCTTTGCAGCAGAGCAGAGGTGCATTTCATGTCACCGTTTGCCAGAAGTCCGTGGGTTGAACCGTCCACGTAACCTTATATGAACTTATATGTTAATGTTGCGATATAAAACTATAGTATACTAGAAGTAGTATAGTAGATATTTTAGTAGATGATAGTACATTATCGCCTCTTGCGAGAAGCCGCCGAAAGGCATCGAGCCACTCTCCCGGCATCCGGCTTCGCCGGTGCTGCTGGCAAGAAGTTTCTTTTGGGTCCGTGTCCGCCTCTTCGGGGTTTAGGGCTAAGAAACTTAAGGGTGAAGGGGCCTCTTTTAGGAGGTCAGCTTCCAGGGATTTTTGAGAGTTGCGGCTCCGACCATGGTTTCCGGGATGAGGCCTTTGGCTGACGGCTCAGATCAAGAATCAGAGTATCCTGAGCACTAAACCCTAAACCCTAAACTTTCTAAACCCTAGACCAAGGCCCGGAACGACCACTTCCTCTGATTAGTGGCATGTGACTAGTGGCTTGTCTGAGCTGAGTCTGCCAGGTTGGCTCCTGGAGACCTTTTCTTGCTCCAGGCGCTGCATGCAGCTCTGTGCTTGTCAAGTGCATGCCAGTGACAGGCAGCGTTGCAGAAACCCTCATGCAGCACGAAGCATAACACGAACCAGATCAAGTACTTCATTCTCCGTTCCAACAGACTTGCTGCAAAGCGCTGTGCCAGTGCTGTGCCGCATGCACGCTTTGCATATCAGGTCTGCTGCAGATGCCACAAGCACACCGCACACCCCCGACAAGGACCCACCGTTTCTGGCCTAGCGCTGATGACGCAGACGGAGGGCGCCCCGAGGTGGGGACGCAAGTGAGGTAGCATGCAGGTGGCGAAGCGACAGAGGGGGCCCACAGGTTTTTCGGAGCTTTGCTTATGCTTCTATGCTTCAAGGTTGATTCTCTGTCTGGGTATAGTATGATGTCAGAAACGTTTGACATGGCAACGGTAGACTCGGTAGATCCTGGGTGCGAGCTTGAAGGCCGGGATTCAGATTCTACCTTCGTCATCTAGTATATTACGCGGTTGGACGCTGGATCTACCCAACCACATGCAGCTGGAGTAAGCAGAAACCTTGACAGGCGGCGATTGGCCCGTGCATTCCGCACCGGGCGTATGGCTCTCGGTCTGTACACCGGCATTTAGATTCGGATTCCGAGCTGGAGTGTCCTCTTTTTGGGTTCATCAATACCGTCCTGGCGTGTTTGGGAATGGTGGAGCGCCAGAAATCGACGACCGCTAAGAGTACTAGTCATCCTGCTATATGCTACCACAGTGACTACACATGTTTCTCGTGCATCAAAAAGCGTCACGGCCATTGTCATCATAATCATCGTTGCTAGCAGCAGCACCAGGACGCTGATCATTGTGGTCGTGGTGGCCGTCGTCGTCATCATCATCATCATCATCATCATCATGATGATGATGATGATCATCATCATCATCCATATCACCAGAACATGCTGCAAGGACGGGTACTGCGAAGGATACGACTCGTATGCACTGGTATCATTGACCTTATGACATTCATGCAACTACTGCTACTGTCGCCCACCAGGACGAAAGCGCTCCTTGAACACTAAATTCAGAGAACTCCCCATTGGCTACTTCTACCCAAGACCATCCCACATAAATAAAATTGGTGCCAAGGTTTGGCGTCCTACTCGCTTGCACTGGTCGAGGGGAAGCTCGATCCACAGCGCCCGCCTCGGAATCAAATGCTCTGATACGGACGATGTACAAGGGATGGGGGTCTTACAAGCGGAGGGAAACCATCAGACCCCCGCCTCTCAAGTCGGAGAGGGCCCTTACCCTGAAAAAGGAAACTGACTCGCACTTGGCTTCGATTCGCAAGGATACCTACTGTACTTGTCTTCCTCCGTACCGGTCCATACCCTCAAAACCCCTAAATCGAACCCCATACCCTAAACTCCTGAAATCTAAACCCTAAACCTCTGAATGCCCTGGCCCCAACCTTGCGCCAAGGCGTAGCTCAGCTGCTGCAAGGTGCGAAAGCGGCCTCTTGGAGGCTGCGGGGGGGGGAAGTCGGCGAGGAGAAGCGAAAGGGTGGGGATTCTCTGGCGGTTTAGGGGTGGGAAAAGGGGTTTCGGTTTATATAGGGGTGTAGGGTTTCGGGTTCAGGGTGTAGGGTTTGGGGTCAGGGTTTGGGGTTTAGGGTTTAGGGTTTAGGAAAGGACAGGAGCAGCAACTAGATGGACCAAGGAGAGAACCACTCAGTAGATAACGACAACACGAAGCGTGTCAAGCTACAACCCACCGCCAGAGCCGCAAGATAGCGTAACACACCGCAACATGAAGAGTGACCGCAAAAAAACTAAAGTAACAATACAAGCAATACTATACTATACTTTGTAGTAAGTTGTAGCAGCATTGGCTGGTAAAAGTGATGATTGCAGCAGCAGCTGCACTGCAAATTTTTGCCATTGCCTCAACTAGCGAGAGCAGTTGAAAATACCCTGAAGCAACGACGGCGGTAATCGTAAGAACGACAACCGGAGTACAGAACGGCAGAGTGCCAGTAGCAGTGATGTAGCAGTAGTAGTAGTAGTAGTAGTAGTAGTAGTAGCAGCAGCAGCAGTAGTAGTAGCAGCAGTAGTAGTAGTAGTTGTTGTTCAATATCGGGGTCCCTTCAAAATCTGGTTCAAAGTTCCCATAGTTTCAACCAAGCCAAGAAGCACTCCGACAAAGGCACTCGATTGAGTTGTGGCGACAGGTACCCATCAATGAGGCGACTAAGAGCATAAAGTCTTCTTAGTTCAGTAGTCCTTTTAATTTCATCTATGAAAAATCTATGAATGAATGTTTATATCGTCATGATTATCTTACGGTTGGTTGTTAGTTGTCCGCAAATATGTAATATGCTATTGTGTTATTATTATTGTTCATGTTGTTACTACTTGTTGTTGTTCCCTCCTTCTTGTTGTTATTGCTACTATTACACTGGCCTTATTCTCTTGTTCTCACCACTACGGCTGTTTGTCTTCATTAAGACCTTGTATCGCAATATTCACAACTGTTGATGTGATGGCCACTGTGATTCTGACTGAGATTTGAGAGACAGCCTATCCCACAACTCTAAAGACAAGCCCTCAAATACAAACCCCGGACCCTGAACCCTAGACTCTAGACCCTAAACCGAGGCCCTACACCCTAAACCCCTAAACCCTAAACCCTAAACCTTAGATAAACCCAAAGACCTGGCCACAGGTCTTGGCTTTAGCGGGGCTGGAGCGACGCTGCAGCGAGACCTGGGGCAGTGAGGCATCGAGATTTCGGCTTTGGATTCAGGTCTGGAGTCAATAATGGAATTAAGAACAGTAACAGTATAGTAGTAGTTGCAACAGTGATAACCGTAGTACGTAATCATGTAATCTTACTACTACTGGCGGCTTGGCTTTTAATGGTTTCCTCTCCGCACTCTCCTGTTGTGCCAAGGTGATTCCTTCAACTGTGGCAACAAGACCCTTAGACTTTGAGTTTTCAGGGGTTTAGGGTTTAGGGGTTTAGGGTTTAGAGGTTTAGGGGTTTAGAGTTTAGAGTTTAGGGTTTAGGGTTAGGGGTTTAGGGTTTAGGGTTTAGCTCCAGGCCAGCTGCGAGCACTTCACACTCCTGCTCGTCAAGGCGCCTTCGCCCGCGTGGTTAGTACTGAGGAGAACGGATCACTTCAGATGGGTAGTTGTCAAAATTATGGTCCCTTTTGGGGTACCCTGAATAATAGGTGTCGTGTTATAATAAGGACCCAAAAAGGTACCATAATTTTGACAACAACCCAGATAGCAGCAGTTACTAACAATAGTAATAAGGATGATCGTTACCATTAAAATCATAATTAAGCACTATCATGAACATCAAGCGGCTACAGCAGCAATAACAGCAATAATTGTAGCATATAACAGCAGTAAGAGTAGTAGTAGTAGTAGTAGTAGTAGTAGTAGCAGCAGCAGTCGTAGTAGTAGTAGTAGTAGTAGTAGTAGTAGTAGTAGCAGTACAGTGATAACAGCATTAGTTCTCGTATCTCGTTGTATCGAAGCAACAACGATGATAATAATCGACTAGTAGTTAATAACAATAATAGTACTGGTACCCAACAGTAATGCCCATCATCATAATTAAGAAGGATGGTTTCATTTGGTTAAGAAGAAAACAACAACGTAATCGCGGCTCCAGCCTCAATCACCATCATCTTCGGTCGATGTTATGCTCCCGGAGATTCGACAAGTGTAGGAGCAAACGAAGGATCAGCAAACATAGGGGCCTGGATACTTGAAATAGGGCTCTGGGATATGTTATAGTAGTTGTAGAAATAGATCAAACCACACTCACACCTCTCAGTTTAGCTCTGTAGCCGCCATTTTGCAGGCGGCTTTTGTATGGTTGTCATCATTGTGTGCGACCTTAACGGGCAGGTCCTTTTCAGGGAGGATGTGTCGTTGCCCTTGCCCACTGGTGCAGCTCTCTTGCAAAGGCTGAACTGCAGTAGCCTTGACCAGCTTCTGCTGGGGGGCCGCTCCATCACGGGCGAGATCCAGCCAAAGGATGGCGATGAAGAGGTCACACTTACGTTGGTTCGAGTTCGCTGCAACCTTCTTGAAGGCCTCGCAGAAGACCTGGTCAGAAGCCTCACTTGTACCAATGCTCTCGAGCTTCCACCTGGCTACCTGAAGCAAGAAGACTGCCTCTCCCTTGTCAAGTCCGTTACCGTCCGCAACTCTGGATGGTACTTTTGGGAGCACACGGTCTCGTCGCATGTGCTGCTTCTCCAAGATGGCAGCATATTCACGAAGCAAAGCTCCAGTGTCGTGAACGGCAAGACAGGGAAGCAGATCCATTGTCACTCGATTGCAGAGGGCCGGTTCGAGCCAATTCTGACAACACCCGGTGAGCTCCTTGTTACCTGGACCAGTGCAGCAGAAATCGAGGTAAAAGGGCCGTTGAAGGCGGCTCCAGATTTTGCAAAAGCCACATGGGAGCGCAGGAATGTTTTGGATGTTCTTCCGACAGCGCTTCAGACGGGGACGGGCCACTTGGACCTGCAGCAGCTTTGCTACAAGTGGCCTCAGTCCCAGCAGGCCCACGCCAGCCTTGTCATGCCATGCCTCTCCGAAAAAGTTCTTGCAGATCTCGGCATGAAGCCCACGAACTTATGGTTCTGGTGCCCACAAGCAGAGGCAACATGAACACGAACAGGATCGAGCACAAGAGATCCAACAACACGACAGCCGGTGGCTTCTCTCGAACGCTTGCGAGACGGTGCTGTCCAGCTGCCGTTTCTGTATCAATGCCGACGAGGATGCAGCAGAGGCACGAGCCACTGCCTGGCAGCTGCCATGAAGGAAAATGTCGGAGCAGCATGCAAGACAATTACCATTGTCACAAGGACATCCGGGTTGACGCAGGTCTCGATGAGCCCTGCAGACGTGCCGCGAAATGCCACGGAGCCGCGACGGAAACATTCTAACCTGCAGCCCAATCTCAGTCATCAAGCCCTGAAGCCCGAATTCTGAACCCTGAAAAGTGCCGATGAGGCTGCTGGCTCGGCACTTGGCGGCGAGCCAAGCTCTCGGTATCGGGTTTCGAAAGCAAGGCTGAGGATTCTCAGCCTTTCCACTGTCATGAGCATGCGTCTATGGTTTTTGTCTTTTTTCTACCTACTCATGGTGTAAGTGTAAGTGTATGAGCACCCGACTTCGAGTTACCCGTGCAAAGTTCTACAAAGCACTGGGTAAGCTGGCTCTGTGGTATTCAGGGCTCCTTTCGCAACTGCTCTGCACACCATGGCAAATCCTGCTTTCTCCAAGGAGGGGTTTGCTGCCGATGGCATGGGGTCGTGCCGCGCTGGGGGACAGCAACGGACCCACGGAGGGCAGGACGGCTCCTCTAATTTAGGGGTCGGCATGATTCGTAATAGCATGCCCTCATAGCCCATGTATGTAAACTCTTACACTTGTCGTATTCCCAAAGCCCTGTTCTAGTGATTAAAGCCACGATGACGCGGGCACTGGTGATCCCCAGGCTCCGTTTAGGAGGCGAGGAGCAGTCGAGCACAGAATGCTTGAGGAGTTGAGATCCAAGCATTGCGGATCCCTAAGCCACGAAAGATTTCTTGAAGCGATGCCCAAAGGGTTTCTCTGAGGATTTGAATGGAGCGCTCTCTAACATACAGACAGGAGTCGAGACTCCCAAAGTCCTGCGTTTGCGACCCTTCAGCCGGACAAGGAGGACATTTTGCGAGCCTAAACCCCCCCAAGCCAAACATCAAATCCTGCGAGGAAAAAGGCTCCAGACCCAAGACCGGACCTGAAACAGCCGACGGCTTTATTTCTAAGCCTTTCAAGAACCGTTATAAAACCCCTTCTAGGCCCGTGTAGAACAGTAATTTTGTGGTGCAGTATAATATAATATGAAATAAGATGGCATAACCCAACACAAAACAGTATGATGTACTAGCAGAAGGACCGAGCAGTGGTTTGGTGGCCGGCCCTTCTTCCACGGCTTGGCCACGGCTCTCTCGGACCCCTGGTGGTGGCTTGGGCCCGGGATTTCAGGGTTTTAGGGTTTGGGTCTTTTAGGGCTTTCAGCCTACGCTTGCTTTTGGTCCAGGGTTTGGGGTTTGAGGTTCTGGGTTTATGGAATTTGTGGTGTGCAGTTTGGGCTGCAGGAATGTCTTCCTCTCACAAACGCGAAACCCTGCAGCACCAGTCCTAGTCGACATGGCAGATACTATAGAAAATGTAGCAACGATGGCACCACTCTTGGTGATGGTTGCAGCAGTCATCAACATCGTCATCGTTGTCAACATCGTAGCCTGACCAGAACCAGACAATGTCGTAATCATCACCAGGCTGACTTTTTGCGCCTTCATCGACTGGGGTTATCGCTCGAGTGTTATGCATAGTCATCATCAAGACAGCATCAGGACTGAGAGCCAGAAGGGTTACAGAATCGGCTGAGCTGTGAAGCAGTATCAGAGCCAGCTTTTCTCGGTACCGTTCAGCGTTACTGCAGCAGTGTGCAACTGCCGATCTTGCTTTCATGATTGCTGAGGGTAGTGATGAGAGTGCCTGTGTCAGTTGGCTGCATCCAGCCTGAGGCATGCTACAAGGGGTCTGGTGGGTACAACAAACAGGATGCTTCAGCTCAGGCTCCACATCAGGCATAGGAACAAGCAAAATCAGGCTTGTTTTGCATGTCGAATTGCAGAGCATTAGGGGCTTCATGGATAAATCGAGAGGATCGCACCAGAAACCCTGCAAGACCACAGCATCAGGAAGGACTGAAAGAGTATCAACGTACTCTGCAGCACGGCAGGTGGGCAGACACCACCTATCCGGCGGTCATGGCCCGGAAACCTGGTCGATGTGGGAGGGTGGGTGGTAGGAGGCATCCATGTCAGGGCAGGTGGAGCCAGATTCGTCGCGGCAGATGAATTCCTTTGCCGTCTAGCCACCAGTATTGCAGAGCAGCCCGTTTCGGCATGCCGACACCACTAACTTCTTTTCTTGACTCTACAGCCTGCGCTTGCGACAGAGTGAAGCTTGTCTGCTACAGGTAGTTGTTCTGTAAGCTTTCAGGTTCGTGTTCGGGATTAGAAGCCACATGCACGTTCGGCTGCGGCCTTATACTCAGAGTCTCGCCGGCCGGGAATGATTTGGCGGCCTCCATGAGGACGATGGAGGTGAAGATTGTTTCCCTTGCTGGAAATTATCAGTTTGGAAGCCATTACTGAGGTGTACCCGCTTCCTGATGACTTGCGCCATGCGCTGTCGCAGCTTGAGGCGCACAGCACCCGTGGTTTTCGTGATCGCATATCGTGTCCAAGCGTAGGTTTAGAGGATGGAGTCTGTGTGATGACGAGAACCGCGGGGTAAAAGAACTCTTGAGCTTGTCCCTTACATGTGTGGGCCGCCCAACACGAGAATTTTACTGAGGCATTTGTGCTGCAAGCTTTGGGTATGGTCAAAGTGAGTCTGTTTTGACAAGCTGGAGATTTTGCCCGGCCTCTTGCGGCTCAGGTCTCCAGCGGCAGCTCGCTTACGGAAACAGGCGTCGCCCATGCGCAGGGCAGGTTTTGTCGCGACAATGAGGACAGCTATGATTAGGCTGATGCTAACGCCGACAATATTTGCCGTGGCGGCGGTGCTGGTTCATGTGGGTCTTTCGGGCCCGAAAGTCTTAAAGATTGGACCTTGATCCAGCCTACCAGCATCAGGCTTTCTTGCAAAGCTGCGTCCTTCAGGGTCGCGTGTCGATATGTGCAGAGTGTCGCAAGCGGGAAGAGCCGTAATCGAGCCGGCTTCGATCAGATACAGTCTTCTAAGATTCTCTTCGTTCCCCGACTAAACGCAAAAAAGACTCTGCTTGCAGGGCCCTTGTGCACAAGCTCGCAGGCGGAGGCGCGGGTGCCCCTAGTCTTTGCTTGCTCGTGTTCTTGTCGAAGTGCCTCGAACTGTGGGCTCCGAACAAGACTTGTCGAGAGTGTGCGCCCCTTCCTAGTGTTTGCTCATTGTCCGGCTGCGGAGCTTGGGAAATCTCATGGTTGGAGGAGCACCTTCATCCGGCGATGAGCTTCGTGTCCATCGGCTGTGCGGTGCAAAAGGCAGCTTTACAGCAAGCTCTCGCGCATATCCGATCACGTCCAGCCATCTCTCTCCTGCAATGGACCTGCCACTTTAGCTTGTGTGTGCCGGAATAAAACGGCGCAGATCTCACATGAGCCACTTCAAGTTTGGAACATCCCCCGAGTCCACAAAACAATCTGCGCGGAGGATTCAGAGTGTTCGCCTTTGGTTTGGTGCCGCGGTGTCCAGGCCTTGATGAAAAAGGGTCTCCTGCCGGCAGAGCTGACGGCCGCACTGGGTGCGGCGCTCAGATGCCCAAACGTTTGCAAGGGTTCGAGGCGATGACTGCCGCAAGCATACAGACACAGCCCGAATGCCAAGCAAGGCCCATGCATGAGTCTGGAAGAGGAAATCCCAGCGTTCCACGAACCGACAGTTTTTGGCATCTTGACGAATGAAGGAAGCCGCACGAGCTAGGCAGCTGGAGCTACTGCGGTAAAGAAGACGCTGGAAGACGCGCTCCCTTTTGGGGATCGTGGCTTCCCGGACCATCACGCATGCGTGTCTGCACCGAATCCTCGAGCGGGGGGTCGTGTCGTGTCGCATGCTGGCGATGTAAGAGAACTACACACCGACCACATGAGACAGACCCGCCGAATCCTTCTAACCAATCGCTTTTGCACACTACCTTCGTCAAGCAGAAGCCCGAGACGCCCAAGCAAAACACCGGAGCCGTTCGCCCCGCATCGACAGAGATGCTCAGGTTTAAGTTTATGGATGTTAGTTTCGCGTGGCGAGTATCGAGAACAAAAAGCACTGCAGCAGAAACTCTAAGACAGCAGTGATGTAAAGAAGCACCGGATGTCTTGGTCCGGTGCAAACCCATGCCAGCCCTGAACCTTGGAGTTCTAGAAACTTCTTGTGAAACCAAGAAGTAACCCTAAGCCTAAATCCCTGAAGCCTTGGACCATCAAACCAACAAAGGCCCTAAGTCCAGAATTAGAGCCCTGAATTCCTAGATCCTGCAGCGTGGTAGGGCAGAGCTGGATTAGAGAGTCAGAGGTCCCAATTTAAAGCCAAGGTGTTCCGCCCGACTGCGGCGCCGTGGCTCCAGCCGTGGTTCCCGAGCCAAGCCCCTACGGCATGCCAAGGCGAAATCTTGGCGAAAGCTTGGGGGCTTAAGGCCCTAACGGCTGATGTTGGAATGCTCAAGAATCCTATGTTGATGGTTTGGTCGGTCAGTCTGGCGATTACGACTGGTATCGCGAAGTGCTGAATAACTCCTATAAGTGGTGCTCTTGCATGCCTTTCGAAGAAGGTGCTTGCAAGCCCGGCAAGGGAACCCTGATTGGAACAACCTGGGCGCAGGTTCGTCCGGGATCGCTGGAAAAATGACGTGCCCAAAGGGCGCTGGCTCAGCAGCTTCCTCCAGCAGGCCTTGCGGTTCAACCTGAAATCGACAACAAGCTAAGCAGACATCACCGGAGCCTCTTCTCATGTGTCTGAATATGTATGTGCCACGTGTGTATGCGTAGTTAGCCTAATGCATCGTGCAGTGCGAGGCATTGTAACATCTTCATGTGTGTGTGTGTGTGTGTGTGTGTGTGTGTCTGTGTGTGTGTGTGTGCATGTGCACGTCAGGCTGTTCGCGGATTGGTGTAGATGTGCATACGGTCCGTTCTGCTAACGCTGTTAGTGCTTGTACCTGTGGTTCTAAGCTCGGGGCAGCATTATGACCATTGACTGTTGATAATACTGCTGTCATTATTTTGCCTTGCTGCTCGCATCTGCTCTTCGATTGATCGAGCTCGCGCACCATACAGTACCTGTTGCAGTTGACATAACCGCTTTAAACTATTAGTGGTGGTAGCTAGTGCTAGTCGTCGTCATGGTTGTCGTCCTCGTAGTTGTCGTTGTAGTCGTCGTCGAAGCAGCAACAGTAGCTGTGGTGCCCTCGTTGCCGGCGGAGGGGCAGTGGCAGGCGTAGGGGTGGTGGTCGTAGTCGTCGCAGTCGTGGTCGTAGTCGTCGTAGCAGTAGCAGCAGCAGCAGCAGCAACAGCAGCAGCAGCAGCAGCAGGAGCAGCAGCAGCAGCAGGAGGAGCAGTAGCAGTAGCAGTAGCAGTAGCAGTAAGAGTAGGAGTAAGAGTAGGAGTGGTAGTAGTCGTAGTAGTAGTAGTAGTAGTAGTAGTAGTAGTAGTCGTGGTGATGGTGGTGATGGTGGTGGTGGTGGTAGTGGCAGTGGTAGCGGCAGCAGCAGCAGCAGCAGCAGTAGCAGCAGCAGCAGCAGCAGCAGCAGCAGCAGCAGTAGTAGTAGTAGTAGTAGTAGTAGTAGGCGGAGGAAGAGTGATAGTGGTAGCGTGCTGGTCAAACTACAAGTCACAGTTCATAATGCATAAGATAAATACATAAATAGGCAAATAATTTAACAGATATCGTTACAGATAGATATGTACACATGCTTTACTTTGCTTGACATATGCATACTCAGAAGACCTCACACGTGCATGCACATGTCTCTGTGGTGCTGTATCGCTACACATATTCATACATGCATACATGCATTCATGCAGCTCTTTTTTACCAATCAACCATTGATTCAGGCATATATACCAATATATATGTACACAGGGCAAGTATGTAACTATATAAGTAGGTACTCACGTATGTATGTATGCATATATGTGTGCATGTATGTATGTATGTATGTATGTATGTATGTATGTATGTATGTCTGTATGTATGTATGTATGTATGTATGTATGTACAGTGAACGCCGAAGAGTTGGAAGCTGGGACATGGAACGGTTGGTCCGGAATCGGATCTTCCAACTTTGTGTTTTTGCTAGGGCGGCTTCCCCGCACCCACAGCGAGAGGACAGACGCCGTTCATGATCTTCCAACTTTGGTTGTTCGTAGGCCTGCCGCCCCCCGCACCTTTCACAAAGGGATGGCCAGAAAGCCAGAAATGCTTCCTTTCTCATCATACTTTCCCGGAACACTCGAGAATTTTGGGGGGTCTCTAAGTGGCAAGCTAGTGTGGGATTGCAAAATTGGAAGATGGCCGAAATCCGAACTATGAAGATTTCCGAAGATTCGTCGTCCATGTGTTTAGGGTGCTCGGAAGTTGGATGCGCATCTTCCAGCTTTCCGGATTTCACCATATTCATATGTTTGTGTGTATGGGTATGGGTATGTGTATGTGTATGTATGCAAGTATGCATGTATGTAGGTATGCATGTATGTACGTATGTACTTATGTATGTACGTATGTACGTACGTATGTATGTATGTATGTATGTATGTATGTATGAAAGTATGAAAGTATGTATGTACGTACGTATGTATGTACGTACGTATGTATGTACGTACGTATGTATGCATGTATGCGTGTCATGGCTTTTCTATTACACTTTTCCAGATGACAACTTGCAAGTTCCCGGTGGCAAGCCTCAAGGCCCTCGCCGCGGCTGACAAGTACGAGCTCAACGTACTGGAAGGCCTTGCAAGCGTGGAGATTGAGGTTGAGGATTCTGTTGTTACCTCTTTCGAGCTCTCTCTCTCACTCTCTCCCTCTTTCCCCCTCCCCCCCTATAAATGAGAGGGGTGTCCGCACATGAGGAACATGGAGCCAATTGGAGCTCGGCAGTGGAAGTGCAATGAACTGCATGATGGCAATGAATCCCAAATGCTGCTCACTCCCCACACGAGGTCTGCTTCCGTGATCCTGCCAGACCACAGCCTGCCTCAGGTGGCTGGGTCTTCGTTCTCGACCTCTTTCGGCGTTTCCCACAGCTCCACGAAGTGCGCCGTGGTTGTGGAGCAGCGCTGGGGGGAAGCTGCTTTCGTGTTCAGCCTGGGGGTTCGGTTACGTGGCAAACCTTGGCTTCGGCACGGAATCGCCGTGATCTCCGCATCCTCGCGGAGCCACCGTCCGATGCTGCTACACTCTCAACAATAGTAAGGTGCTCCCGTGTTGCAGTAAGAGGCACGATGGCTGTGATAGTATGCCGCCTTCCTAACATTGCTTCTGCAGTTTTAGGCTTTTGAATTAGCGACCAACTCATTAAACCTTGCATGGATAGCTCCGAATGCCTGGCATGGAGGCAAGCTTCGGGACTGCCCATGCTCTCGTACGGCTGCTGGGCAAAGATCCTACAAGGTCGGCCCTTCGGACGGGAGGCCTACTATAGGGGCCTTAATAATTACCTTTCCTAGTTTGGGGGCTCCTGATTATAATTATAGTATAATGTGCCCCAAAACCGTCGTCTTATCATGTGGCGCATGCAGCCCGGAGAGCATTCTGAATACTTGCGTGGTAGCGTTGCAGTACAAACTATGTCACTGTCACTTGCTGCTTTACCGAGGCACACGCACACACACATACACACAGATTAGGTGCAGATTTCCTCCCCCAAAACCCTGCACCCTATAGTACCCTCAAAGTGCCCTTTTCGTAATCTGGAATCCTGGAAAAACCCTTACAGCACACATGTAGCAGCCTTATCATAGGAACCACTACTTATAATCGGAACCATTACTTATACTAGGAACCTTTACTTACAATAGGAACCATTACTTATCTTAGAAACCCTTACTTATAAGAGGAACCACTACTTATACTCGGAACCATTAACCCTAGGCTTCCTGCTATGCGACTGCAGGGCTCTCGAGGCCAAGCTCCGGCGTAGTCAGATCGTCATGAGGCCGGGGCCGACGGAGCCCAGGGCAAAGGGCTCCTTTAGTAGGGGATCTACTACAGGGTTCCTTTAAGGGATCTACGGGGTTCATTTAAGCGCACCTTTAGGGGATCTACTAGAGGAGCTCCTTTAAGGACTTCTTTAGGGGATCTACGGGGTTCATTTAAGGGCACCTTTAAGGGATCTACAGGGTTCCTGTAAGGGTACCTTTAAGGGATCTATAGGGTTCCTGTAAGGGCGCCTTTCGGGGATCCTCTGAAGGAGCTCTTTGGGATTTGGGCGTTCCCAGGGATCCTCCAGCGGACCTAGTGATTTCGGCGATCCTATGGGGGTTCATCGAGGAGGGATTCCTCGAAGGGTTCTATAATACTATACAATAATGGTGCGCACCACGCAGACCTAGTGGACGCTCCGGTACGGCTCAGTGTTTAAAGCCGGGGCTGGCAATGATCACAAAAACCTTCGATATGGCTAGTTGTCAGTTGTATTGCCTCCCCTGACATGACATGCATCGCAACACCAGATAATACAATCACGTACATTGTAGCTTTAAACCAGTTTAAGAAAGCCAGACATAGTACAATGCAATTTCTGTTGCTGCCAGGTAATGTTAATGTCACATTGGGTCAGTCCTCTAAGGTCATGCTATGTCGTGTGGAGTGATGTCCTGCAATGCAATGTGACGTATGCGTGCAGATTCTGACTTTCATTCTGAAAGTCGCATGAGCAGGCTCGTCGAGGCTCCAGAGCGTTTGCAGGCCTTTGTCGAGGCCCGGACAGCAAGGCATTCTTGGTGTATTGGTGGCCTTTGGGGGTGGAGATTTGCGTGAGTTCTTGGGGAATTTGTCAGGGCTCTGTTCTCAGAACAGCTGATTCACGCTGATGGCGGTGGTGTCTTCGTGCCACTGCACGGCCAAAGAAAACAGATTGGTAGCTGAGGCTTGGAGCTGAATGCAGCATGTCAGGCCACAACCACGAATGCAAGGTCTTGAAAGGCCAAAGTTCGTTTCAGAGACTGCTCCCTTTGCATTGCATCCCCACCCACTGACTTCATAGGTAATAGTAGATATAGTAACTCTCAAAGCTATAATCATAACTTTGATAGTAACTGTGATAGTACCAGTGCCTATAGAGGTAACTATGATAGTAAAGCCCAAGACAGATCCACTCATCATCACTCAGCTTCTCTAGGCTTATGCCTCGCGCTTGGCACCGGAGTCCCACCTGGAGGTCCACGCCGCTGCAGCGCACCAGTTCGGGGCCGTTTAGGGTTTAGGGTCCTCAGAATGAGCTCCTTTTTGCCCCTGCAGGTATCCGAGCTGTTGCAAAATCCGCATGCGAGAGGCTTACATCGGCTTACTGTCCCACTGTCCTGAATTCAACGGAAAAGGGTGTCGCCTAACACCGCGGTTTACACGAGTGTCGGCAGCATACCCAGTGGGCCTCTCAAAGCACTTCGGTTTTCCTATTCGCTTATGGCGCATTGCAGCATCTTGGACCTTGGACTCGTTCTCATGCCCGTGCTGGCAAGCGAGACGATGCTTCTGACGACCTGCACACTCTACGTTTCGAGACTGGGAGATCAATATCCGCATGTATCATCTATGTTTGGATCTGGGTGCATATCGCTACACGCTTTGTTCTTTGTTTACGCTTTTGGTAGGACATACACCTCTGAACACACAGACTGCTTTGCGACATCTGTGGGCACCCAAACTCTCTTGTTTGTGGTCCTGAGGTGAAACGACTTTTCCAAGGGCGGGGACCTGAGATGCAGAGGTTTTCCATGGAGTCGATCTAAGGTTTGGGTTTCAGGGTTTAGGCTAGGGTTTAGCCGAGTTTCTTGCATGTGACGGATCTACCCCGTGATTCTGCTTGGTCTCCTCACCCCAGCTAAAATTGAGCGGAGAGAAGCCAGTTAAAAAGAGCCTGTAGCGAGCAGGGAGCCCTAAAGCCGTAGCCGTAGCCCACGTCGTCTTTTCACCACGGCGCACCCCCCCCCCCCCAAAGGCTTCGAGGCCTCGGTCCATGATCGGCCAAAAAAGGTGCCTCAATATTTACAAGCCCTGTTGCCTAGGTTTGTAGTGTAATTTGCCCCAAGACTGCGTTCTAATGCTATTGGAAGCCTTAGTGCGCAGGACGCCCGCGTCCTGTTATTGAGGATACAGGCATCACTAGCATTACTGCTTCACCACGAGGGTCATAGCAATAGCACTAGCAATAGGAACAGGAGCAGCAGCACTATGTCATCGTGGTTGAGGAATACCGACAACTGTGCTAATGATCAGAAGAAGATTGCAATTGTGTTGGTTGTGGCGATGCATCTTTGATCCAAGAGGGGAAGATTGGTGAGGTCGGAACTCCCACATCTACCGCTGCTGGCATGCCTCAGGCTCCTGCGAGCAAATATGCGGGGAAGGGGGAGGGGCTCCCGCTCTTGTTTTAGCACGCTGTAACTTCAACTCCGGCTTCGCTCAGCATCATCACGGCCATGATTTCTGTTGTTGTCTTCGACGATGATGGTGATGATGATGGTCTTGGTCATGATCGTGATAAAGATAGGATTGCCGTTGTTGATGAGCATCATCAGTATCATAGTCGCCGTCCTCATCTTATCATATCTTATCAGTATGGTTCTTGCCGCTCTGCATCCTCCCATCATGCACCTGTTCGGTATACCTCGGCAAGGAAAACTCTGGAGATGCTGCGAACTTTCGCGGCGTAGGGCCCTACTGTAGGGCGTAGGGCCCTACGGGATTAGGGTTTAGGGTTTCCACTGGCATTGTCTGGGCATTTGCAGCTGAACAGCTCTGAGCACTGACGTGCATCGGAGACTAATTCGAGGATTCGAAAATGCATGAGTATATCCTATAAGACTCGGGCACCTGATGTGCATGTTCTACGGCAAGTTCTGACTTCACTAATTATGCAGAAGGCGGTCTAGTCTGTACATGATAGAAAGGGCTTGAATCTTGATGGCTTCGAGTGCTCCCCGCGATTTGTATGGGCTCAAGCTGGGCGCTCTCTGCCATGATGGCGCGTGGCATGTGTGGGAAAGTATTGCATTCACGGACACGGCCAAGCATGAGTCACCCGCTGTTCTCAGGAAGTATTTGTTCGAAACGATACCCACAAGCCGCGGCATCACCGGTGCCTTTCTCACAGCTCATCTCTGCAGTAAGCATGCCTGTGTGGACTGAGGCACTCCGTGCGAGGTTTTGAGGGGTTTGAACAGGGACAATGTTTGGCAAGCAATTCGAGATTCCGAGGGTTCTTCCTTGGCCTTGAACTTCGAAGCTGTTCCTTCTTCCGTCTTGTTTTGGCAGCCATGATTCTAGAGACACAAACATGCAAGTTTAGTTCTAAATCCCTCGTCTTACAGTGCCGACAAGGTGCACCAAAGTACGCGCGGGTGCAGTCATGTGACGCATTGCAGTCCAGAGCGAATGGAAGCCAGAAGAGAGATGGTACAGCAGCACAATGCATCACAAGGAATTTGCACGAAGAGACCGTCCTCTTGACCTTTTTTATCAGATCTTGACCAGCGACAAGAGCATGCCTCTTCATGATCCTCGTTCGGCCCTGTCGCACCCTGTTTTCTCATGTACCGAAAACCTCATAGCCCGTTCACAAATTTCAAGTGCTGCAAGCCGACACTGAGTAAAACCTCCGTCTATCGTCGTTCCGATTGAAACATAGTGACATAGTCGATCCTGCCCAGATCTGCCCTCGCCTGCTGCGGTGTATCATGGGGTCCTTACTGGTGACGACTGAAATCTGCACCTTGTTGACTCCTGCGTGACTGCAGTCGGAAGCTCTGGTCCTATCGCGAAAGCCAGAGGACTTTTCGCAGGGAGAAGAATTGATTTTGAGCTTCAGGTATCGGATCCAGAGCAGGGTTGAGGCCTCTCAGGAGCGGAACTACCTGAGTGAGACTTGCCTGTTCGGCATGGGGTTGTCGATCTTCTTTGCGTTTACCCGCTGTGTTTGCGGGTAGTAGACAGCCATGCACATGCGGGGCATTTGTCCGGGCCATCTATACCTCTTGTCGTGACACCGGTCTTCTTTCCATTTGGCATTGGACATTGGCCGCCCGACTGTCGTGAGCAGGCAGGCAGTACCGTGGTGACACACCCGGGACCGTCGGTTGAGCTCGCTCGCACAGCCCAAAACCTTTCTCAAAGGCAAGCCAAGAATTGTCGTGTGGAGTACAGTCTTTCTAGTCGGCACAGGGTCCCCTTCAAGGTACCTGTTCATGGTCAGTTGAGTGGTGAAGCTGTGACACAATCGTGGGCCTAACCGAGGGGTCCGAAATGAGTGGTAAAAATTCCCCCTTATGGTCCCGGCTACCTTTACAGGACAGATGCGTCCCACACCCCTTTTCTAGTTGTTAAGGCCCCGACCTTACTACCAGGACTCTCTTTCGGATACTGAGCTCAAGGAGTGGAGCTCGCGACGCTCAGATGAAGATGGGCCTTGCAGACAAGTTCTTCAATTTGACAAAGAGTCAGTTCTCAAATCAGAGGGGCCTCAATAATTACCGATACTATTGTGGGGGTTCCCTGTTATAATTCTAGTATAATAGGCCCTACATTACCCACTCTTCAGGACCCTTTTGGGCTCTGGTTTTGCAAGGCATAACCTTTTCTCGGTACTTTTGTCTGCCGTTCCTTGGGGCACCTTCGCCTATTCACAACTGGTTCAGTTGCATCGGCGCAGCTGTTGACGTGTCATACCGCACTCGACTGTAGAACAGAAGCCGACATGAATTTCCATGAAAAATGCACCAAACTTCCAACGGTACTTCACCTCGACTCCTCGAGATCTGCTGTCCTAAGCTCACCCCGAGGTCTCGATTGGGAGCAAGACCTGGACATGCAGTCGCTTTGGCCGGAATCTGTCCACTCTGTTAACACATGCTAGCTGCTAGTCTAGAGGTGTGCAGGATTTAGCGCATGTGCAAGTGCGAAGGTTTTAAGAGAAGGCCGTGCTCTCGGCCGGAAGTAATCCGGATCGTTCAACGGCCGCGGATCGTAATAGCTGACCGAACCCCCCTAACACGCAACCCTGAACCTTTGGGCAACACCCGGGCGCCCTGGACCTCAAACCATAATGCGAAACCCTCGAACACAAAAAGCTGCAATTCAACCGCCAGCGAGAGGAGCCGCCTCGGGGACGGCCCCGGGGTTCAAAATGTGGGGTATGTACAGCTGCAGTAGGAATCCAGACTGCAACGCTTGCTTCGAAGCATCCTTTACCTTCTTAATTCTGCCCGAATGCAATCTGTCTCGTCAGTGTTCCAACTGGAATACTTCTGCTTGCTATCCCTTGCTTCGATGTCTCCAGTCACCTTCAGGAAGGGCAGAGCGGAGCTCCTGTGGGACCCAAGTCCAAGCTCCCGGCGGACCCGTGACCCGCGACAGAACTGAGAATGACAGGACCGCCTACCGGTCCCCACAAAATGGAACTCACGCGTCGAAAACACAACGACCAAGACGCCCCGGCCTCCGGCGTCTGCGGATTAAGCACTTCACACGGATCGCGAGAACCATACTCCGCATCCTCAACTAGATACGGCACTCAGGCTTTGTTGTTCACACATTTTTTATTGCATCGTTAGCATGTGAGTGTGTCACCGGAAAGCAGGATGTAGACATGCATGAACCCCCCTAAGTTGCTGCTGTTCGAAGGCCGAAGGTACTGCAAGCGTCCCTGCAGCAAGTGCTCTGGCAATGAATCTCCGTAAGCCCCGAAATCGATGCCACCCCAAGGTTTCCTGAACCCTAAACCCCAACCCCAGGAAGGAACTCCGCCTGCGTCGCGAAGCGTGGCTTGAGCAGCACATCATTGTGTTTTCCGCTGGCTTCCAGGGTCGTGCGCTTCAAGGTTTTAAATCGAGGGCTTGTGGTTTTCCGGTCGATCCTTGGGGTCCAGCATCAAGGACATCGGTACTAAAGCATTGTCACTGTTGTACCACTACTACTACGACGACGACGACTACTGCTACTACGACTATTACTACCACTACCACCACCACCAACACCACCACGACCACTACTACTGCTACTACTACTACTACTACTACCACCACTACTACTACCACTACCACCACCACCACCACAACCACCACCACCACGACTACTACTACCATTACCGCTACCACCACTACTACTACTACTACTACTACTACTACTAGTACTAGTAGTACTAGTACTAGTACTAGTACTAGT